GGGGGATGTCATGTATGCTGGGGCGCGCCTGGGGGTTCAGCGTCATCATGGACAAGAGCAGGCGCTGCAAGGCAGCCGAATACCTGGACGAAAGATGTAGGGGGGTGAGTCCCATGTGGTGCACAGCACAGGGAGCTGCCTGGGAGCAGGGTCACCCTCCCCAGCCACTCACCTGGTCGTGGTGGGCACGACAATGGGGTTCTGCACTGCCAGAGCCACGCTGTCGCCCTTCTGGAAGATGGCGTCATAGGGGCCCTCCCCAAACATCATGCAGTACAGCACACAGCCTAGGGACTGGAGTGCGGTGGGGTCAGGGCAGCCCCCGCAGTGGTGGGATGGGGACCGGGGGGCTGGATCCTTACCCAGATATCTGTGCGCTCGTCTATGACACACTGGCTCGGCACCGTGAAAAGCTCGGGGGCACGGTACGAGATGGTGCAGCGCTGGGCAGCCCAGTCCTGCAGAGAGGAAGGTGAGGGTGGGGATGAAGGGCTCAGGGCAGGGACGGGCTGGTGGGGTGATGTCCTAGGGCACCCACCTGCACAGCCATGGCCTTCCGAGGGCTGTTGACTTCGATGCGAGCTTGGTTCATTGAGCCCAGGTCCATCAGCACAGGCCGATCATCTTCATCCAGCAGCACGTTGGTGGGCTTGAGATCCCTGTGGGAATAGATGTCACCGAATGCCCACTGGGCCCCTTGCCAACCTCCCCAGCCGAGGCTGTCGGCCCCTGACCTGTGCGCATAGCCCTTGCTGTGGATGGCTTGCAGCCCGCAGCAGATGCCATGGAGGATGAGGAGGATCCGCTGCTCCGGCATGAAGGTCCCTTTCTCCCGCAGTGCTTGCACCTCGCTCCAGAGGGTCCCCCCCTGGCAAATGGAAGCAGCCGGTTGCCACTGGTGCTCCTGACAGCAAAGGGGTGGGGGCAGCCAGGGGAGCCCCCCTCACCTTCACGTAGGGCAGGAGGAGCCAGGCTTCGTGCTTGGTGCCCTTCTCCACCATGCAGTGGGCCACCAGGCGCAGGATGTTGGGGTGGTCAAAGAGGCCATGCATCTCCACCTCGTGCAGGGCGGCCTGGCGGTCCTCCTTGTCATGGCACAGGATGCGCTTCAGGGCATAAAAGCGCCCGTCCCGCAGCCCCTCCACCAGGTCCACATAGCTGAAGCCCCTGTGAGAAGCCAAGCACGGCACAGGCTGGGTGTCACACTGTTGTGGCGCCTGCGTCAGGGTCTTGTGCCCAGCCCCAACTTTGAGGGAAGGGGCAGAGGGCAGCAGGTGCCTGCATGCCTCTCCATGGGAACCTCTCAGGCATGCATGTCCCCCCCACCTTAGGAGCCCCTGTTAGGCACCAAAGCAGCCCCCCTGTGCATGAACAACCCCACTGGACCAATCACCCTCAGTCCCGTGCGTCCAAGCACCCACTCCTGGCTATGACTGACCCCTGCAACCCAGCATGAGAATCCTCCTCTGTGCATTTGCTCAAGCGTCTCGCCCCCCATGCTCAAATATTTCCCCTATGCCCAAGCACTGCCTGTGCTCAAGCATCTCCCCCCCATGCCTGAGCATCACACACACACACACATAAGCATACCCCCCACCTGAGCATCACCCCCATACCCAAGCATCCTCCTATGCCCAAACTTCCCCTATGCCTAAGCATCACTCCCACGCCCAAGCATCACCTCCACCCGAG